TGCAGCAATATTTCCAAGTCTTACACTTACTTCTGCCCGTAATAGTCCTCAAAAAAACTCTCTTTCCACGGTTCCGTTTTCTTTTCCTTCTCCATTTCCTGTCTTATGCGAACCTGCATTTCATGAGTGAACTCCCCTGAAAAAAAAAAGAGGAGGTCAAGAATCATAATTTAACTGGCTTCTCACAGGGCAAGTGCAGGACAAGAGGAATCCAGAACAGAGGAAAGAAGCTCCCATGTTCTCGCTGATGGGTTGAAAGGCTCTTAAGATGAACTCTCCCAACCATATGTCAATGTTTTTGCAATACAGGTAGTCCTTGTCCTCACTTATTGACTGCCTTGTTCAATGACCATTTGAAGTTATGACAGTGCTGAAAAAGTAGGTTTATGACCAGTCCTCGAACTTGCGGCTGTTGCAGCGTCCCCACGGTCACATGATCACAATTTGGCTGCTTCGGAACCGGTGCATATTTACAATGGTTGCAGTCCCGCAGCCACGTGATCGCCATTTGCATCCTTCACAGCCAGCTTCCGACAAGCAAAGTCAATGGGGAAGCCGGCAGGAGGCTGCAAGTTGCAGTCATGTGATATCATGCTTAACAACCTGCAGTGATTCACTTAACGATTACAGTGGCAATGACATTGTAAGTCCACTGCAGTCATGTGACATTTCACTTAAGACGCTTAGTGATGGAATTGCTGGTCCCAACTGCAGTCGCTAAGAGGGACTGCCTGTTCTCCCAAACAAGTCATTTTAGGAAAAGGCATTTAATTCTCTCTCTCCCTCTAAAATTTTATCCCCAACATACATTAATCTTTTGAACATTAATCTTCTTCAAGGTAAAACATGCAAGATCAATACTCCATAGCATTGGTTTTAGTGCTGCCTAAAAGAACCCTGGAATTCTGCTGAAATTCTTGGGGGCAGGGGAAGGGTTCAATGAGGACAGGCAGCCTGCCAATCATCCTGGACCGTCCTCCCCATGCCCATCTGTAGGTAGCATTGGGCATGATCAAGATACCTATTTAGTCTTCAGGAAAATTCTGCCCTGGAACCTAAAATCCTTTGCAAAACGCAAGGGTTTTAGGGCAGGCAAAAGTCCCTTAATGCCCAAATTGTGTGGAAATGGTTACATGAAGGCAGAGGGCTTGAAAATAAGGGCTAAACCAGTTTCAGGAATTCTACTGTTTTGTCCATTTTATTTACTAAAATGTATTTGCCTGCCCTATCCCCAATCTCTATCCAACCTTTGCACTGGGGAAAAAAAAATAGCAGCCATAATGAATGACAATACATTCACAAAGTGAACTTCAAGAACCTTTCATTTAGACTGACTAAGAGGTGGCAAGGTTTAAACCAAGCCAAAAAGCTCAAGAGAGTGAAGACTGGATACAAAGGAAGAGTTACACCCAGGCAACCAAGCACTAACTGATCATCAGCAATATCTAGCAGGTTTTAATTTTCCAGAAGCTTCTGGCACGTCTGTCCTGTCACCTTCCTTCCAGAAATCAAGGGAGAATGAATGACATTTAGGAGCACAACAGGCCTGATGCAAAAGGAACAGCATCTTAGGCGGAAGGCTGGCATCAAAAGAATCAAGCCTGGGATCTGCACTGTTCCAAGACAGAAGGTGGCCACTTCATCAAGGGAAGCAGATGGAATCTTGGCTGCAACAGGCAATGGAACTGTCATGTGTTCCCAGTAGAAGAGAATCTCTGTAGCTCAGAGTTGAACTGTGAAGTTTTTGATGCTCTCTGAGCTTGGTTGTTTGCTTGCAGACATTTCATAACCCGACTAGGGAACATCATCAGTGCAAGTCCTGTTTGTTTGTATCTGCGAGCAAACAACCAAGCTCAGAGAGCATCAAGAACTTCACGCTTTCATACATAGCAGAAACAAGCCTGAGGTTGTTTCTCCTGACCTCTGAAGCCTCAGCAGACTGACAGTAGAGGTAAGTCTCTTGGTTACCACAGGGCAATTTAAAATGCCTTCCAAGCAGGTACTCCTGCTCCAAGGATGGAGTAGGCACCCTCCTCCACATCACAGCCAGCTGCTGCTGAAGGAGAACCGGAACACCTACCATCAGCCAGCCTCTCCCTCCAGCTCTGGGCAGCATGAGTAAAGAACTCATTATTTAGAGCACTCCCACTAAGACGCAGCAATCCGTCTGTCCCAGCCTAAAAGGAAGCAAAATGAATGTGAGGGCAGCACGCAAAATTGCACTGAATCCGTTCCAAAGGTGGGGAGAGAGACCATACCTGTCTGTCCACTTCAGGGAGGAGGAACAGAAGCTGCTGCTGGAAATGCAGGGGAAGGGCATTGAAGGTCCTGGAATTTATCAGCGCACGCAGGTTTGTGTTCACAAGAATGGAGCCAGGCGTCTCAAAGTCTATATCGTCCCCCCTGTTCCTCTTCATTTGTCCTGCAGTTTCCAAAAGGCAACATAAAGCCAAAAATATTTACACAGCCAAGACTCAAGAGAGACACGTGCACACTTGCTGACACAGCTGTAGCTTTTCAACCCAGAAAGTCTTTCTTGGGGTTTCTGAAAAGCAGCATTGCCAGTGCTAACACAACTGAGTGGGCAGGGAGATGAAGCCACACGGAGAGCAAGAGAAACTTTAAGCAGTCTAGAGGTAGAACTGCTGGGCCTCTCAAAAGCAGCGATCGCCTGAGGATCGAGGGTAACAGCCACTGAAAATCCGCCCAGGGCTCCTCCCCAAAGTTTCCTGCTCAGAAAAGCAGCATCTGGAGGATGTCTAAACTCTGGTGCCAATGAGCCACCCTGAGGCTCTGAGAAAACTTGGGCAGGACAAAAAAGGAGGTGGATGCGCAATTTTTGCTGGCAGCCAAAACTTCTAGAAGCAGCTCTCTTGGTGACTCTCACTTTGGAATCCCCACATTATTCTGAGCAAGAGATGAAACTTGCAATGCAATCGAGTACCCTTTATCTGGCCCTCTTTGGTAGACAATCCGACAAGGCAAACTACAACTGGGACGCAAGGCAACAGGGGCTCCTCTTATATCTCCCCCATTCTGAGAAAGCCTGACAGCCCTGCTTAGCCTGCCCTCGCCTCTAACAGCTACTCAGGGATGCAAGACCACCAGGAACGCCCAGGGCTGGAGGCTAAAGTGGGAAGTTGGGAAAAAAACAGCCTGGAAGAAGCCAAAGGCAAACCATTTCCTATTGCTGCCAAGAAAATGGCTTTTATTTATTTTATGCCCCTACCCTATGTTTCTGAGCTCACCGTGAAGGAGCCTTTACTTTTAAGCCAATTGTAAAAATAAACCGAAATCCCTCTTTGATGGTCTTTAAGAGGATTTTAATCATTTATTTATTCCAGCCTATATTTGTTAAGTTTAATGGACTGAGCTTTCAATCTCTTGCTACTTTTTATAATCATGTTCTGAACACTGTTTGTTATTTTACGGTTTAACACTATCATTTTATCCCTTGTCAAAATATTTACCATTTTGGTAACTTCTACATTTGTATGCCACTCACTTTAAAATAACTCAATGCCACTCACCACATAGCAATTTCTTAAGCAATCAGAAAAAGGAATTTTTCAGGTGGTAGGGAGAGAGCTGAAATACAGGAGGTGGTTGCAACTGGCATGCATTTACTCATTGCCACAACACACTTGTAGGTGTGCTTCAATCATATTACACTAGAAACTCAGCATAACTCAGTCTACCAAGAACCATACCAATCATCCATTCATCCATTGACCATTTAATTTCATTTAATTTCACTTGTATGGCTGCCCACTTCCCAAGCAAGTCGCTTTTTTTTAGCAGCACTATTTTTTTTATTAATTTCACAACTTCCCATGATTACCCAGAACATGGCCCCATCTCCTTGAATGGGAATATGGGTAACTGCCTGCCATTGAGAGATCTCGCTCACCACCAGGGTGGCTGCAGGGGAAAGGGAGGGGCCGCTCTGAGCTGCAGAAGGAAAGGGGAAGCAGAAGCCCAGCAGAATCGTCACCGCCAAGCAGCAACCCTTCCCTCCGTCTAGGACACGTTAGGGAGGACCCTACCCAGAGCGCCAGGGAGGGGCCCCCTGTTCCTGGCAGCTTTGGGGAACAGGCAGCCCAGGAAAGGACGTTTATGCCAGCCAGATAAGCCTGACTGTGAGAAACTGGTGCCCGAGGTACCCTACCTATCTTTCCACCGGTGGTCCAATTCCTCAAGGACTGAAATCCAACTCTAGTCAAGTCCTAAAGCAGCATTTGATAACAGTCACAGATTGAATGAAGAAAAATACATTTATGTTTAATTCTGATGAGACAGAAGGGTCCCTAGTCAGCCAGAAGGCAGCTTACTCTGGGTACTATTTTGGAAGAAAAGGCAGGACGCGCAACCCGTGACCCAGGAATCTACAAGAGCACGTCTCCATCCTGGATTCTGGCCACCCCACACAAGTGAGCAGGAAGATCCTGCCAAAGGTCCCCAACTATCAAAAAGTACCGTGAGAGGGGGCCTGAAAGTGAGCATTCTCAGGGGGCTCCCCTCCTCCGGAACAGCCTGACCCTCAGGCAAGGGGGGCTCCCACCCCCATGGCCTTTCTGAAGCCCATAAACTGCAGCTGCGCCAGAAGGCCTTTGGGATTGAGTCAAGTGGAGCTAACAGCACCAGATGGGTAAAGATAGTTAAGTATAACATGTAATGTAATTTTAATGTATTTTTATGTATTTCATTGTTCACACTGGCTTGTTGCTGATACCTTTTATCTGGCACAGAGATAAAATTAGTTGAAGATTGAAGCAGCTTTGTAAATGTTGTTAAGCAAGCAAATTTTAAAAAAATAGACGGAGATGCCCCATATTCCTTCAAGTATAACATTCACTTGGGTCTAGTGTGCAGCCCCCCGCCCCCACCAGGCTAGGCTCTCTAGAGAGCAAAGAAACCCAGGTTATCACCCCATTCAAGCGCTTTACAATAAAGGTGGCAACACTGATTTCTGACTGTCCATATACCAAATGGTTTGAACATCTGAGGGACCTGACTCAGGAGGAAATAGGAAGGAAAACAGGCAGCCTTACTTAAAGTGGACAAATGTATTACACGCCCACCCTGCTCTGGTCCTTCTTTAACCATGCTCATTCCACAGTGGCAAACTCCTGCTTTTGCTGCTCCCTTTTCTACAGGGTACACTTGGTGTGAAATCACAGTTAGACTTGTAACAAGCTTTTTGCAACAGCCTTTTTCATGAGGCACCACAGAGGATTCTTAAAATGTTCACATCCGTTTCCAGACTATGTATGTAAGTCATTGCTAGCTCTGTTCATTCATTGACTAGAAAGAAGGAAACCAGGCCTGGAGAGACCTTTCTTACAAAACAGAAAGAGCAGAACGCTCCTATACATTTTGCTTCATATCGCAGCTTCTAGAGGACTACGGCCTAGCTCTTTTTTTGAAAGGAAGTAAACTCGGGAATCTGGGGATTATAGTTATGCTCAGAAAGGGGCAAATGCCCTTGTGAGAACTTCATCTAAAGGAATCCATCCATCCATCCATCCATCCATCCATCCATCCATCCATCCATCCATCCATCCATCCATCCAACGGTTATAGTGATTTGCAGTTATATCTCATTCTGCTTGTGTATCACCACAAGCACTTTAAATATTTATTTTATTACTTATTAGATATCTATCTTACTACACAGTCCTTGATGACAACTGGGACCGGAATTTCTGTCGCTAAGCGAAGTGGTCGTAAAGTGCGACCACATCACTTAGCGACAGCAATTCCTGCAGTCCTGTTGCCGTTGTTAACTGAATCCCATGGTTGTTAGATGAGGTAATGTTGTGCCGGCTTCCTACAACCAAAGTCTTTGGGGAAGTTGCAAGTCCCAGGCTGGCAGGCAAGTAAATGGTTGCTGCTGGGTGGGGCAGTGAGTGAGTGGGTGTGCAGAGGTGCGGGGGAGGGTCAGGGTGTGTGTGCGAGGGGTGTTGCATAGGTCCGGGAGGGTGCATGGGGGTGCGTGAGAGGCTCCGTGTAGGTCAGGGAGGGTGTGTGAGGTGCCGCACATGTCAGGGAGGGTGCACGAATGGCTGGCACAGCATGAGCACAGAGGGACTGGGGAGGGGGTGCGGGTGGGGGAGACTTACCCCAGCAACTTGGGACCTCCCTGCTGACTTGACTTTCTGGGGAATCCAGGCAGGGAAGGTTGCAAATGGCAATCCTGTGATTACAGGCTGTTTGGCAACTAGTTGTAAGTTTGAATGGGTTGCCAAGCACCTACATCGTAATCATGTGACCATGGGGGTGCTGGGACAGCTGTAACTGTAACCAGTTGTAACCACCATTTGTTCAGCACCGCTGTAACTTTGAATGGTCACTGAACAAATGGTCATAATTCGAGGACTACCTGTAATAAATTTGACTTTCAGAGGTTACACTGGTGAACATTTGTAAATGCTCTAGAATTATTTGTAATCCTGAAGCACTATGACCTGCTGTGTGATCAGAGCTTCATCTAAAACCTATTAATAGAGAAATTCTGGTTAAACAGAAGCATTACACTGTCATTTGTTCTCTGAATAAACTAAAGCAATAGTCTTTGCTATAGAAAGTTTGTGAAGCTGTAGAAAAATAATCTCTCTGAAGGGAGCAAGAGGAATCAGACATTCCAATCAATGAGAGGTGTGCATGAAAGGATAAGGAGGAGGAAATTACTGCTTTCTCTAGAAAGTACACAACTACCCATCTCAACTTCACTGAAGATCATCTGGATGATCCAGCAAGCTACTCCAACCATGTACTATGGACAGATGAGGAGAAAAGTGGAACTTACTGGCAATTATGGGAAATATTGTGTTTGAAGAAAATGAAACACTGCATTTTAACAAAAGAACCTATTCTAACTGTGAAGCAAGTGGTGGGATCATCACAGTTTGGGTTGGTTTGCAGCTTCAAGAAATAGCCAGCATGCAGTCATTGACAGAACGATGGATTCTGGATTGTACAGGTAGTCCCCCGGTTAAGAATGCCTGGTTTACGGATGACCCATAGTTAAGAACAGAGCCTACTGCAGCAAAATTGGAGTTAAATACACAATATTCGAGTTAAATGCACAATGGTTCAAGTTAATTACATAATACTACTTATACAGTATTATACAATCATTCTGTTCTGGCTTACATAAAAACTCAAGGACAGATTTGGGAATGGAACTCATTCTTAGGAGAATGTCAGGGTATCTGTCCAGGAGCTCAAATTTAAGTCATGCAGCACAACGATTCTAAGCGTATGTAAACCTACAACTGAATGGCTGAAGCAAAAGAAATTTAATGTTTTGGAATGTCATGCAGATGACATAGTACTAAGCTTCACAGAACCACAACGTGCAGTAAGACAGTCAATGAAAATAATCCAAGGCTTTGGGAAATTCCCTGGATATAAAATCAGTGTTCCAAAAACAAAAATAATTACAAGACATTTAATGCGAGATTTTCTGTGGAAGGAATCTGGCTGCCAGTTAACACACCCAGTGAAATATAACTGACAGGTAACAATCAAGACATATAACAAAACAATTATGTTAAACTATGGAAAGATGCTAAAACAGATCTTGGAAGGTAGAAAATGTAAAGCTTTCTAAGTTAGGATCAATTGCAACTATTAAAATGAGTGTATTATCCACTTGTAAACTATTTGTTCCGATCCCAGAAGAAACTTTACAAGAATAGTAAAAAAAACTGTTAATAAATTTATATGAAGTGGAAAAAACCTAGAGTAAAATTCAAAATTTTACAAGATTCAAAAGACAGAGGTGGGCTTGCTTTTCCAAACTTCAAACTATATTATAGAGCAAGCTCTCTGTCAGGACTAACAGTCTGAACAAAATCCCAAAACAAAAGAACATCAGTACTGGAAGGAGCCAGTCTAGCTAATGGGCTTCACAGATTTTTTGGTACAAGGACATGAAAGAGGACAAAAATTTAAAAGGACATACAGGTAAACCTTGCCTAACAACCACAATTGGGACCAGAATCTCGGTCGTTGAATGAAGTGGTTTTAAGTAAGACGCCCATGTGACTGCTTTGCTCAATGACTGCAATCCAGGCACACTCGGTTGCAGTCCGGGTCGTTAAGTGGATGGAGCAAAAGAGCTGTCCGCTGAAGGATTTCAGCTCCACGCGGAGCTGAGATCCTTCAGCAGACAGCTCTTTCGCTCCATCCTCTTTCCCCTCCCCTCTCTCTGCGGTGAACGGGAGCACCTGAAGATTTGAGGCCTGCACCTTCACACCACTGAAGGGAGAAGGGAAACCCCGCAGCAGTGTGAAGGCAGGGACCTCAAATCTGAAGTTCTGAACTCTGTAACGGTCTACTGCCGCATCCCTCCACTTGCAACCTTCCCTGCCGGCTTCCGGCAGAAAAGATGGCAAATGGCAATCACATGATTGCGGGGCGCTTGGCAACCGATCATAAATGCAAGCCAGCTGCCAAGAGCCCAAAATGCAGCGATGTGACTGCGGGGGAGGGGACGTTTTACAATGGCCAGAAGTGCTTTATGGGCCGTACTGCACCCTTTCTGAGGCTGTCATAATTTCAAACCTCCGTTAAATGAACGGTCATTAAGCGAGGACTACCTGTATTATAAGACAGAGTTTGACAAAAATATGGAACTTTATGAGAAAAATAGTAAGTCCAACATCTTATCTTCACAGCTAGTCTTTCTTTCAAATGCTTTTTATATTGGAGATAACTATAGTAAGAAAAGTGCAATTACATATGCAGATATGGTCCACTCAGATCCCACAAACAGACTAAAAACACAACAAGAATTGCTTGGCAAAGGCTGGAACGCACCATGGCTGATGTACTTATAAATAGTTGGAAGAATAAAAACTGACCTCAGAAATGAGAGAGGGTTTCTAAGATACACGAAAGAATTTACAATGCTAATACAGAATCAAGACCACCTATTAGGGTGCATACATAAAGACATTATCAACAAAAAATGCCACAATTTACTAAGCTACATGTTCACAGCCACAAGGATAAACTTAGCACAACACTGGAAAAGAGATATCTTAGCAAAGATATCAGACTATGAATTTAAACTTGAAGAATATGCAGTAATGGCAAAATTAATAGCATATATGCACAACAGAAATTTAAAATTTAAGCAAGAATGTCTTCCATATATATTACATATTATGCAGCAAGGCAAATTCCAACAAAGTATGATATTTGTGGGGAAAAAGAATTGACCAAATAACTGAAATCAGAAACACACGAAAATGTTAAATATTTATAAATACTGTATATCAGCTGGAGGACAACAAATATTTACTTAGGTTTCTTATGCTGGTCTTTGACCGTAATAAAGATTTGATTTGGTACTTATGCTTTTACTAGTTTTTCTTTCTTTCTTTTTTTAATTGTACCATTTAATGGTATCTTTGAATGACAAAATAGTAGAGATTTTAGCATTTGCCTCAGAGATTCAAAAAGATCTTTAAAATCCTTTTCCTTATTGTTAAAAATAAGTTAATGTATTTTGTTTTTTATGATTAATTTTTCATTAACATACTGAGCACTAAATGTACAACTTTTGCAACTTCTTTGTCCACTTACTCTTGACTATATCTTTGCATCATTTCCCCCCTTTTTTCCCCACTTGTTCATTTTCTTTTTTTTTAAAGATTAGTACAGTAATAAAAAAAGAACGGCTGCATCAAAACCCTGACCTGAATCCTACTGAAGTGTTGTGGCATGTGACTTGAAGCAGTGCATTTGTGCAAGACAGACCCAAAATATCAAGGAGTTGAAGCAATTTTGGAAAGAGAATTGACCTAAAATGTCTCAAAGCAGGAGCAGGAAAGGTCTGGTTCAAACTGACTGCTGCCGTACCTCCGGTTACTAAATCAAAACCTTCAAATACTCTTTAAGCTGACAGTGACTGTTGGTTCACCGGTGCACAAAAAGGGCATGACACAGTACATGGGTTTGTGTGCTGTTTGTTTAGTCAAAATCTCTTCATCTATTAATAGGCTTTAGATGAAGCTGAGATCACACTGCAGGTCACAGTCCTGCAGCCTTATGGACAGTTCTAAAGGATTCGCATACTTCCTCTCACCACAGTAGGTGAGAGAAAGCCATGCAATTAACAAAAACATCTTGCATCTATTACCAACACAGAAATTCAACACAGCAACTTTTGTTAAAGGAACAAATTAAAACAGATGTAATACTGCCTCTTAACCAGAACATCTGATGAAGCAGGCATATCTGTAGTGTAATAAATAACAGAAAAACTCAAGGGGCTCCTGAGTAACCACACCATCGCCGAGAAAGCATCAATGGCAGAGTCTAGCATGCTAAAAGAAAGATCCAGAGAACAGCCGCTGCCCCCCCCATCTCCAAACCAGCCTGAGCCAAATTGCCAAAGTCTGCCCTGATAAGAGAAGACCCCGGATTCCACCTACCACTCGAGGGCTTGCGGACTCCCCGGAGCAGATGGGGGGCTTCCCTAGCGATTTCTGTTCTGCTACAGAGTGTGCCGGGCAAAACAGATGAGCTGCTGGTGCCCTCTTCGCCAACCTGCTTCCCTGCAAACCCTGAAAAAAAAAATCCATTGATGAGAGAACACATCAGCTGCTTCCCACTGTCCTCACTGCAACCCCAAGTTTATCGAGCAGAACATCCTGATACCCAGCAACAGTCACAGCAGGGGAGGATAGACGAGAGCAGAAGGCTTGTGTCCTTTATTCTGGCCACATTATCTGTTTCTGAAGGGAGAGAAGTAAAGGCTCAGGTGCAGCAAACTTAGTTCGGTAAATTCTGAAGTAAATGTCCAGATGCAGCTTCTCCACATTGTCCTTCCTTTTTCCTCTTCCTTGTGCTTGGAAGGATTTGCTCCTGTTCCTGGGGTTTCTCCCTTTTTCTTTGACTTTTATAAACTCAACTGACTCTTACGGCTACCACAGGAAAGCAAACGGCTTTACGCTGCTCCAGATCATCTTAAAAAAACCACTTGGCAAGAGGCAGCAAGCTACCGTTGTTTGGTTTTTCAGCCAAGTCAGTGGCAGGAATTAAGAATAAGAGGCAGAGAAAGCCTCTTTCTCAGAGGTCACATTTTGGGTAATTCGCGGTGCAGTGCACAGAACACAGGCACCTGATTAAAAGGAGGAGCAGCCTGAATAAAGCACAGGCATCTGGACCACAATTTACACCCCCTGGGCTAAGATCACGTAAGTAGCAGCAACCAGGAATGCTTGTGAGAGCAGTCATTTGAGGCTGGGTTTGGAGGGGCCACACAGATGTGGCAGTCAGGGGGGGAAGAAGAGCTTCCACTTACCTGAGGAGGTTTCCATATGGGCCCCGTTTACTTTCAGGGGAGTCAGAACCACACGGGGAAGCATCATGCCTGTCTTTTTCTTCTGTTTGCTTACCTGTTTCAAAGGAAATCAAGAGAGCGCTGCCAGGAAAATACTGATGAAACCTAAGGGTCAAGGATCCTACCTTCTCAGGAAAAAGGGCAAAGGCCACGACGCCCTCCATCTCATCCCTAACAGCCAATGACAGCTCAGCACGGTGGTCAGAGCCGTCAGAAGTGAAACAAAGCCAGCTTTTTCAAAGATCCTTATGTGTCACCATCTTTGGACCTGCCCATTGTGCAGGTGGGTGGTAGTGCTCTACACAGCTTCAATAGTCTCAAATGGGAAGCTTCTGGCTGCTCCCAGTCTTGGCACCCTTCTCCTGTCCTAGACACGGCAGCCTTGATTCCGCTATCGTGTTCTAATAACACTAGGAAGGATCATCAGAACTGATGAAGTCCTGGGCATGTTACTTCTGATTATGAGTAAAAGTAATACGGGGGAACAGTGGACCTAGCAAACAGAAGCATGGAAGAAAAAGTAGAGATTTTGTTACAGGACCACCTCTCCAACTTGGTACTCTGGGAAAAGCTGAAGGACAACTTCTATCACCTCCAGCCAGCATGAATGCAGAACCTCACCCTACCTGCACCTTCACTGCCCCTGACTCTTCCTTCTCTTCTACATCATACAGCTGATCACTTGTTCCCCCCACCCACCCAAAAGCAATCTGTCTATCTAATCCCAGCCTAGAGAGAACGTGGCAACAGTGAATTCAATATGGATCTGCATGTGGGAAGGGGAGATTATTCCTGGATGACCAGAAGGATAAGAGGTGAGCAATTTAAGGAAAGCCTATCTATGGGGAGACTCAATGAACATTTCAAAGCTGCAGAGAATATGAAGTACTGAGGCCTCCCTATAAGGCTGTGTCCAGTTCTGGGTCCTAAACCATAGAAAGGATGTACTCAAGTTGGAACAGTAGAGGGAGAGGGAAAGAAAGGGATTAGGTGACAGGAAGCAAATTTTACCAGGAAAGGTCTCTCAGATATAGCCTAGCAAAGAAAAGACTAAATGGGAAAATAAAATTGTTCAAGTACATTAAGGACTGTTACACAGAAGTAGTAAATACTTATTCTTTGCCACCTCAAGAGCCATCACTAAATCAAAAAGGGTTTGAGTTACAGAAAGGTAAATTTCAGCTGAATATTAGGATAACATTTTTAGCAGTAATTGTGGATTGATGAAAGAACTAATTAGAATAAGAGAGGCAGTGAAAGAATGTTTTGTACTGAGGCCTTCAAGCAGGACAGCGGTCAACTGTGAAAGTTCTTTGCACTGGAGGTTAGACTACAAGGCCTCTGAAGACTCTCTACCTCTAACTTATATTCTGTTGGCTCACTCCTGTTTCCATTCCTACACAACACAGAAATACGGGCAGGTTTCTTGTAAAACACACACCAACTATCCTCCAGATAATCCAGGGGTACTCTTGCCTCAATTATTCTATCTAGATCAACAAGAGAAAAAGATATTTAGATAATTCATCAAACTCTGTCCTTGGAGGGTTTTAATAAAAATCTGGACAAGCATCTGCTGAAATAGTCCTCCTATGTAGCAGTCCGAGGCAGACTCCATGCCCAAGTCTGCACAGTTGCTGTGCCAAATTCCAGATTCAACTGGAAAACAAGATTTCTATCGTATTGTCAAAGGCTTTCACGGCCGGAATATGATGGCTGGTGTGGGTCTTCCTGACACCAAAACAAGCAGCCACTCGTTAACCCAACCCCCCCCACCCCCCCT